CCCTCCCTCCCTCTCTCTGTCTCTCTCCCTCCTCTCTTTCTCCTCTGTTCTCTCTTCCTCGTCTCTCTCTGCTCTCTCTCTCTCTCTCTCTCTCTCCTCTCTCTCTCTCTCTCTCTCTCTCCCTCTCGTCTGGCTCTCTCCCTCCCTCTCTCCCCTCTCTTTCTCCTCTCTCTCTCTCCTGTCTCTCTCCTCTCTCTCTCTCTCTCTCTCTCTCCTCCCCTCTCTCCCTCTTCTCTGTCTCTCTGTCTCTCTCCCCCTCTCTTTCTCTCTTTCTCTCTCCTCTCCCTCTCCTCTCCTCTCTCTCTTGTCTCTCTCCCTCTCTGTCTCTGTCTCTCTCCCTCTCCCCCCTTCTCTCTCTCTCTCTCTTCCTCCCCTCCCTCTCTCTTCTCTTCTCTCTGTCTCTCTCTCTTCTCTCGCTCTCTCCCTCTCCCTCTTCTCCTCCCTTACCCCTTTCTCTCTATGTAAGGCTGTTAGGACGCAGGGAGAAGTAGGTCGAAGGTCCGAGTGTTCGCGAGTGCTCTCTTTTTCGGATGTTGTTGTTATCAGTATCCGTGTCTGTGGCGCTGCATGTCTTATCATCACTCGTTATTCGTGGCATCGGCTGCTCGCTCTGTTATAGGCACCCGCGCCGTGCTTTAATGCATACCGAGATCTTATATTTCCTTTATGGATAAACACTGGCGCTGGCTGTGCTGTATGGCGCGTGTCGCAACTCGCCGAAATTGTTATGGATAAATAAAACATACTGTTGGAAACGAAACGTAACGAATCGAAAGTATTGATGGAAGGAACGAAATAGCCAGAGCCTAGAAATAACATACCAAAAATAAAAGAAAAGCAGAGTTTTCTATTTATTTCATATCAATGAAAACTTTTTTTTACGTGACATTTCCAGCACAAAACGAGACAACAAAACCCATTTGCGAATCTAACAAAAACGAAGCGAACTAGAACAAGATACATATTCATGTTCCTTCGCTCCCATAAGCTCTCCACGCACGCTGTCATGAGGCCAAAAACCCGAAGAAAATACTAAGAAAGTGCGCCTTCCTGACTGACCTCCCAAGGCCCGTCCGCGCATGACGAAAAGCATGACGCGTGCCATGACAACGTGCGCGTCTATTAGCGAATGCCAAACGACTTCTTCCTTCCTTAGACGGAGAGCGAAGGCGGCGGCAGGAACCGACGGGCGAGAGAAGGACGAGAGGAATAGGAGAGCTGTGTGTGACGTCACGCCCACGTCATATAGTCACCTTGGGGTAAGGTCAGTGGGGGTCACCCATCGCGTCGCTCTTCTCCTGCGCCTCCTTCAGGCCATCCGGCTGCTCTCTGGCTCTCCCTTGACTCTTTCCGCTCTCTGGCTCTCCCTTGACTCTTTCCGCTCTCTGGAACTCCCGGCACTCCCTTGACCCTCCCGCTCTCTGGCACACATTGACGCTCCCTTGACCCTCCCCGCTCTCTGGCACACTTGGCACCCGCAAGCCCCTCCCCGCTCTGGCACTCCCTCGACCCTTCCGCCCTGTGGCCGCGTCGGCCGATCTCGCGGCGGGCGAAGAGTCCCAGCTGAAGGCATCTGCTGTCGCTGGCCAATCGCTCGGGTTCCTCTGATTAGTTGACCTGAAATTATCCTTTTTATCATCCTTTACTTTCTGGACATGGGGAATATGAGGTCATTCTGAATCCACGTTCAAGGAGGAGACAGGAAGAAAGGAGGGGAGGAGGAGGAGGAAAAGGAGATAAAGATGAAGAAAAAAAAGAAAGAAGATGGAGAGGAAGAAAAAACAGACGAAAAACAGAATAGAGAGAAGAAAAAGAAGAAAAAAAAAACAAAAAACGGTGCTTTGAATTGTCTAAATCCTATATAAAAAGTACAAGAGGAAGACAAAGAAGAAGGCGAAACACAAAATGAAGGAGAGAAGAAAAAGAATAAAAAAAAAGAAAAAGAAAAAGAAAAAAAGCGGAGATTTGAACCGTCTAAATCCAATATAAAAAAAGCCATCAGCTGTTTACACGTGTCGCTCCCAGCTGGTTCCTGCGCTGGCGTCTTGAATGTCCCTGGTCAAGCAAGTGGCCCCTCGCCCGCGTTCAGTTCCTACAGGCCTTGGGTCTTCTCTGTTCAATAAGTAGAAGATATTAGTTGTCATTGTTTTAGTGTTGTTGTTTGGGGGAAAATCGTGGGTCTTATAAATTGTTCGCAAAAAGCATATAGATATGAATTTGTGGTTTTGATCATTCGAAAGGAAAATGGCGTTGCTTGAGTAGTCATGTTTCCTCTCTCTCTCTTTTTTTTTTTTATCTGAAAATGGAAGTGGAGAAAATCCTAGAATTTATAGACAATAGATTTCCTTTCACGAGTATTTACAAACATATCTGCTTCCGTTTTTTTTTTTTTCTTTTTCAGTGTTATGGATAACAAATATATGTTATTTTAGCACTGAGAGCTAGGTCATTAAATAGCTAATGTATAAAATTATTGAAACAATTATCCTCATCTTTAATG